AATATTATAAAAATAATAATGAGAAGAATATAATAAGAATAAAAAGTATTTAGACACTCCTTGGCTCTTTATTTCTTGGAAGGAAAGAATTCAGACCAATGTTTTGTGGTTTTGGGCTTTTTTTTTCCTACACTGTGCCTCTGATGTGTATAGAACTTTGATAATCATCAGCTACTGTATTGGTAATCCATGGTCATCTAGCTGCAGTCATGCTGCCAGGTGTCTGTATTTTCCCAGTAGCATAGTTATAAGCTGTGACAGTAGTTGCAAATAAATAAATAAAAAGCTATTCAGCTTGCAGGGGAGGAGAAGTGGTATATACAGTTGAATGGGAGGGAAAGTATTCTGTTCAGGCTTCCATTCACAATTAAATAAAAAAAACTAATTACAGAAGTGGTTGATTACCAGACCAGATTAGATGTGAGACAGCTCTGTTTATATTATGAAAATTGTGCTGCTTAATTTCAGTTCGGGGCATGTTTAATTAATCACACACTTAAACTGACTGTGACAAAGATAAAATCACTATTGTGTCTGACCTTAAGATCTATTTTCTTTCTAATCAGATTTTAGAAATAATCAGGGTTATTCTGAAGCTGTATGAGCAGTGGAAGAACTTTGATGAGAGGAAAGAGATGGCTACTATTCTTAGTAAAATGCCTAAACCAAAACCACCTCCAAACAGGTACTGTACTTCCTTAATATACCTTTCATATGGAAAAACTGGACTACTGTCTTAAGAAGGAGTAAATGTTTAATTTGAGGTATAGCGTATGTTTTTACAGTGCAGACCTTTCTATTACAAACAGCCAGTCTGATTGTTCAGGAGCTAGTGAGAAGCAGAACATTCATTGTTTTATGGAGAGTGTTAAGGTGATTAGAATGTGCTCAATACAGCTTAGCAAATGTAAGGAACCGCGTTGTGAGGCTCCGTGGCTGGGCCAGATTCGTTGGAACTGCGCCTGCTTGATGTCGTATTTAATTACTGTGATTAAATATCACTGTTGGGAACCTGCACATGCAAATTCCTGTGCACATGCTTATGTAATGTGAACTTTGAAATGTTGACTTCAGAAGTAGATTCAGCAGGCAGCTGCATGGGGATATATTGAAATTATTATTCAAATAAATACACTGAAGTTATTTATGCATGCTGAGAATAGCCTTTGTATTTTTTATGAAACTGAGCAGAATATCTTAACCTATTTGTGTATATGTTGAAGTATTTTCCTTCAAAAGATTTTTACGACTTTCAGAATACCGTATTTTTTAATAATAAAAAAAAAAAAAGACAAAAATGTAATATGATGCTTCTTTTTGAAGACATGTGGTTTTGTTTTTTTTTTCTTCCAGTGAAGGAGAACAGGGTCCAAATGGTAGCCAGAACTCTAGTTATAGCCAATCTTAAGACATTCCAAAGAATTTCTTTATGGACCACTTTGACTCAAGACATCCTGGGATCTTCCCTGTGTTCATGAAATGGACAGAAGGTTTTAGTAACATCTTTGACAAAGAACTTGAAGAATAAATAGCTTGTTTGTGTCAAGCATTTTGAAAGCTTTTTCTTTAAAACTGCATCATTTTCTCTGACGCTGGAGCAAATGTACTATGATTTTTCAGTGTAAGGAATCAACCGTTAAACCGAGCTGCAAAAGATTAACACTATCCACTCAAAACAAATAGTACAGTATTGGTTTTGTTTGCTTTGAGAAAATTGTAACTTGCCATTGAAGTGAACTATTTTTAAAGCAACAGTAACCTGAAGCCTAAGTGTAAGCATATTAATGACCTGTGTTGTTTTCATTTTGTTTGTGACTGAAGGAAGATAGTGCACTGTATGTTAAATCTATTCATTACCTTGAGTTTTGTTGATTTTTTTTAAAAAAAAAATGGATTCTGTAACAAGTAACACAGCAATCCTTCAGAAACAAAGCCTAAAAGAGCCTGCAAAGAATATTGTTACAGTTTTAATGAAAGCTGCAGGAAAGAAATCCAGTTCCTTTTTTGGATTAGAAAAATGCTGTTTTACTCAGTATATGTACTTGGATGTTTTTGCCATGAAGCGTAGTAGCTCAGCTTTCCAGAAAAGTGCAATATGTATAGTGATTCTGCAGTTTTCTTAAACATTTCAAGTGTTAGGAATTTAAAAAACCCGACATACTATGATTTTTGTTTTCAAGTAAACGTACTGTATAGTACAATCGGAATATTTCACAATCAAGTAGAAATCTGGACATCATTGCTATTTTTTATGGTGGATTTTTTTTGTACAAAAGATATACACTGTTAGTCTGCCTTCACTGTTAGTGTGAATTTGTGTGGTTCATTAGAGAGTTTATTTAAGAGGATCAAGCTTTTGGTGAGCTTCATACTGGCTAATTTTAATTGTGATGTTAGGAGCAACTCTTTAGAATAACTGAAATGGGATTCCTTGGTTAACTATGTGCTGGAGAAAATGAGATTCCTTTAAACAGAAGGCCATATCCTGTGTTCCTTACTCAGGCAGATATCCCACTGAAGTCAGGAATTGGCCTAAATCGAATTTCTTGATTTTTAGATAACTTTGTTTCTAATTAAGTTCTGTACAATTTCATTTTGAATGATAAAGCTGACTTGCCCAAGTATAAAAATTGAATGATAAAATAAAGTGCAGTAATATTGTTCTACATTTTTTTTTCCTGAAGCAACACATTTCACTGGTCTGAAATATTGGGAGGGAAATTTTTGAAAACCCTTGCTCTGTGATGCACCTTGGTTCAAAAACCTGGCCCCTTAAAAAAACCCGTTTTTGCAAATACCTGTCTTTGTAATTGGCTGGTCATTCAGTGAAATGTAACTGAAGTGTGTTTGCATGTAGCCCGTTAGGCTACTAGCATTTATTTCTGTTCAGGTTATTTTCGTAAAACATTAGGTAAACAAGCCCAAACCACTTTGGTGAGATAGAAAATTATATACACTTTGGTCTTTGCTACTTTTGTTGCCATTTGATCCATACCTTTTACAGACACTTGATTGATGAAGTGGAGTTTGGGTATTTGCCTTTGTTTCTTGAAGTCTAAAATGTGCTATTTGTAATGTGGACTTGGGGAGTAGAAATAAATCAATGCAACTTGACCGCTGTGTGGAGTTCTTAAACAGGAACTGTTTTAGGTAAACACCAGTCTTCTCACGTATCCATATAATCTGCTAAGAAAGCTAATGTTTTGAAATTAGGGATTTCACACTGTTAATGAAGAATTCTGGCTGGAGTGATTAAAAGTTCTCTTGCTGCTCAAGAGCCTTTGCAGACTTGACTTCACACCTAAATTACCTATGTGACCTAAACCTCGGAGCTAAAATATCAGACACTTCTTGATGGTAAATAGAAGTATCTTAAGTAATTTCTCTACTGGGGAGGTGAGGATAGTTTTACCAACTCTGATTCCAGTGTAAACAGTGAAAGACAACAAAGTGCAGTCAAAGGAACTGGATTCAGCGATGACACTTATAAAAAGAAAGATGTAAATTGGAACAACAGGAAATGGAACATAATGTGAATTCAACAGCTTTGCTACCAACCAGACAGAAAAATACCACCTTTACTGTGCTTTATTTCAAAGGAGAGAAATGCATAAAAATGAGGTACCTCATTAAAAGAGAGGTAGCTGAAAGTCTTCACAGCTTACATGGTTACAGGTGACAGCGGAGCGTCAAAGCAAACACAGGCCATCTATGCCAAAAAGACTTAAGGAAAAATCTAAAAGGAAGCAAACTGAACTGGATCAGACAAGTTATTTAACTCAAAAAGCATCATTTGAAAAGCAAGTTATATCCAAATAAAGAAGATACAGAGGAGGACACAGAAAGGATCATCAACTTTGACAAGCTACAAACAGTTTGAGTAACACCTTGCGAAAAACTACCAAGACTAATAAAAACTAAATCTACCAAGGCTAATAAAACTAATGAAAATATGTATTTTTAGGTATACAGTGGCTTTCCTATTAAAAAAAAAAAAAGTAAATCCACAACTCTGGCTCCGAAAAGATAGCAGAGGTCTAGAAAAATCATGAGTGGTGTGAAGACTGAGGTGACAGCTGTTCATCACTTCTGACAGAAGAAGAAGGAGCATCCGATGAAAACAATACATGGCAAGCTGAGAAGCAACAAAGGGAAAGACAACTTCTCACAATGCCTTGTTAAACCCAATGCAGCCTGCTGTGACTGCTGGGAGTTTGTGTTGAAAGTTTACAAATACCCAAATATACCAAGACATGCAAAGCCTGAAGGAAGTATGAAAGCACTCCGAGTTGTAAATGAGAATAACCTGGGGATTGTATCATTACATACTTAACCTGTTTTATACTCTTCCTCAGATGTTTATTGCCGGTTGCCGCCAAACAGAAAATAACGGGCTGGACAGATCTTGGTTTGACCCAATATAACTGTTTGTTGTTCATTTTTTGTGGCTATGTAGTTTTAGATGTTCCCAACAAACTTTAATGTAGCTACAAAAGGAAGCATTGGTCATTTAGGACTAAATCGTGATTAGGTTCAGCTGATGAGATCTCCTTGCTTTGTTCATCTGTATACTGAAGTTTGGTGGCTCAGTCAATACAGCTAGGCATGATTAATTACACATTTAGCTAAATATTTTCAGTGTGTCTCAAGTTTTCTGTACAATCTGACCTTAATGATCTAGATCAAAACGCACCGTTAGTCCTGGTGAGGCCTGGCACAACACAGCCAACAGTGGGCTTCAGTTGCCCCTTTGACTATGTGCCCACAGCATTGTGAAACTGACAGTCTAGGTCATGTTAAACAGGCAAAATTAATAGATCGTAGGATTTGGCTAAATCCAACAAAACTGCTGGCATCTGTTACTCCTCCTGACCTTTCAAGAGTAAGATAGTGAGAATTGCAGAGTAGTTGACCACAAGGTAACACCCATACTCATCCTGGCATTTTAATTTCATCTTACTCCCATTAATTCATCAGTTAAAGTAAACCAGTATTTTGGAAATTAGTCTAAATTCTGGTTCTTAAGTTGTTCGGTGTTTTTTATGGATTGGAAATAAAATATAGCAATAAGACCACTAAAAAGTCAATGATACTTTGAAGAAAAATGCACTTATAACTCACTATTATGACAGGTACACTACAGGGTCTGTAATTATCAGCAAAGACGAGAGCAGAAACCCTTGTAAGATACACTGTCAGGGCAGCACAGCTAACGCAGCTGGCTGTGCCAACTACAGGAGTTCTCCTCTAGAAAGAAATGACTGCAGAGACACTGCGGGACTTGCTGGAAATACAATTCTAGTAAGATTAGTTACTTTTTCTTCTCTGTTCTCTAAACTTGAGAGGGTGTATTTTTTAGGTCGTCTTCTCACCATGCAGACTGCACTGTCAGAATGGAAGAGACGTAAGGTAAGCGCACATTGCCTGCAATACTGATTAGAGCAGAACCAGAGATTTTAATTCCTTTTTCCAGATGTTCTGCAGAGTCCTGAACTTCCGTGCTAGGACTTAAATTTCCTAGAGGCAAAAGCAATTCACCTTTGCTAGTCCCCCTGAACTGCTAACAGTATTAAAAAACAAACAAAAAATCCTTAAAATTACGACTATGCAAATTTATAGGTGGGGATGGGATGGGTCGGTTTGTTTTTTAAAGTTTAAAACACGCAAATTAACGTACATAAAAGAAGGAGGGGAGTTTAGTAACTTCCTTGGATACCTCAAATTTTCCAGCCTAAAATGATTACATCTCTGTAATAGTAACTTCAAATATAGGCAAGTTCTCACTTGATACTGAGCTGCTGAGGGAACAGAATTTGTTGACTTGAATGCTATAGCATTTTGTGCTCAGCAGATCTGTGTATAGAAATGGATATACTTTTAAAATAAGGAATCACACAACATTTTGAACAGCGAGTATTCTAGCATCAGGTCAGTTTCCCTTTGCATTTTCTGACCAGTAGTGAAGTTTTCGCCTTACAATCACATAGTACAAACCTAAAAATTTGTACTCTACTTGTACTCTGATAACACAGCAAATATTTTTAAACTCCAGCTACACATGAAGTATAATAAATCTGTGCTTAGGGCAGTTACCCCAATTCCATTAGAATATCTGCAGTTTAACTATTCTAAACAAACTACCCAACACAGTTATTTGTGAAAGGATAATTTTATTTGTCCTATCATCATTAGTTTAAACAATCATAACCTACACCATACAAAAATCTTGGTAAACATAACAAGCACTTGGGCTCTCTTCACATACTCTCACCAAAAAACATAGCCCAAAGTAAAGGTTGAACAAATTTCATGTCCTCTGTTCATGTCATAGTCTTTAGATATAATTTAAACCAAGCAGTTGATATGCACGGCTATTAGAAGGTGAATGTCCATTTACAGAAGAAAGCAGGAGTGGGCTGTATTCTGGAAGTGCAGTGCATGTAGTTTAAATGCTAAAACCTACAAAATATCCTGAAGCCTTGATGGGGTAGCCATCTTCATTTTTTCTCTGGAGGTTCATGTTTTACCCAATCCTCAAAGCCACCACCATATTGCTGAACTCTGAAAATATGCAGAAGATACAATGTTAAGAAGGACTCTTCTTGAAAGTGGTATCTAAGAGGAAATGACAAAAAACCCCTAAACCAAAACAAAAAAAAAATCAGAGGAAAAAAAACATACAGAAATTCTCTGCAATCAAATACACTTGTACCTAGCTTCAATGAGACAGATAGACATTCCTTGTACTCTAATACTGCCTGCTTCCATGCAGTGTATTTTGTAACTCTTTTCTTCCAAACGACACAATGCTGGAGATCAAACATCAAGCAAAAACATCAAGCAAGTAGTAGCAGCCGGATCAATGAAACAGTTTGCCACTTCTTTTTTTAAAAAGAGAGAACAGACTCACTGCGGTGGGAGATTTACATGTTATTGTGCCTAATACTTCAGACGTCATCAAATAAATGCAGCACACTGATCCTTACTTCCTTGCAAACCTACATGCTTTATAGAGCTGACATAAGCCTGCATAAAATTAAACTCTGGAAAACAAAAACCCACGATGCAAAACAATACTGAGGCCTTCAATTAGGCAGCATGAAAAACAGGTAATGGAGGATATTTTGCACTTATTAAAACAATATATTTATAAAACAAGAACGTGGTTCCAAACTTTTGACTAGAATTAGCAGGAATATTCCAGTTCATGAATTGCAGTTCAGCGAAAACATGAGCAAACAACCAATTTTTAAAATTCTATCTGCAGTCTTCAAGCCAGCGAGGCACCTTCTGGCACAGGTGTAACAATTCTGCCAACCAAACGCTGCTTTTGCTTTCACTCTATCAATCTCACTGTCTTTTTACCTACTGCCTTCACTGCTTTACTCCTGGCAAACAATCCAATGCTTTACTGAAAGTGAAGGCGTTGACTTTGTCAACAATGAACTGTACAGGTAGAACTGCAATTTAAAGGGTGTGGTTTCATGAACTATTTAATCTAATTTAAGATTGTACTTCTACAAAAGCGAGCAGTTCTCCACCTTTCAAATCATCCTGCATCTTAGGACTAGAGCTTATGAAGCTGTATAAGGAAGCAATGTCTCGTCAAGGGAGCCCTAAGAGGCAGAAGGACCCTTCGGTGGCAGCATGGTCTTGCAGCAGACTGCGTCACCTGCGGCACACGTGCAGAGCTGCTGAGGGGTTGTTTCACAGGGTGATACACCTCACTTTGCTGGAACACCTGATGGCATCGTTCAAGGTTCAGTGGAGACAAGAGAAGATGTCTAACTCAAATACCAGCCGTTTTGTTCATATTCCACATACAAATTTTTACCCTTGCCCACAAGAAGCTGAGTATGAGTTCTGCATTATGGGGGGAGGCCGCATTAATCCCACCCTTACACACACAAGTCATACCTGCTGAAGCCCAAGGACATGGCGAAACTGAGTGCTTGTTTACTTCTTGTTCCTGCCAAACAGGAGAAAACCACAGGGTCCGACTTGGACGGCATCTTTTGATTGTACTGCTCCTTGAAGTCCGTTGGGTCCATTTGTAAAGCTTCCACTAATTCACCCACTAGGAAATACAGAAAAAAAAGTTTCATTTATTCTCCATCCATAGACAGGCTTACACTGTAAGGCTTCTAATTCTTCTGGAGTAAAAGTTTAGCCTCACACCATAATAGCAGCTGTCTAGCACAGCTCCTCTTTGCTCAGTCACCACCACTTGTCCACAGACTTGACCATCAAGCAAAGGGGAACACCCAGTGCCTCCACGTAGCAGTATTAGTAACTTACGCGGTATGTTGACAGACGCTGGGATTCTTCCAAATCTCTCGATCTCCCACCTCTCCCGCACGTCTATGTGGAGGATGTTGGTCTTCTTCAAGTCTTTGAGCTCTTGGTAGGAAAGGCTCGGCGCCGCGCCGCTGCAGAGGCTGGTGGCACCCGCCGCCCC